TTCGATCAAACACCTTCCATAATCTCCGAGGCTCTACTTAAGTTGCAAAGTTCCTTTTTTTTTTAGAAGTTATTCTTCAATAACATGTTTTCTTGGGGATTTAAATTTTAAAATGGCAATCATTCTTTTCTTTTTCCTCTTCTTCTTTGGTCACGAAGGTAAGAACACAAACTCAAATTCAAACTCAAACTCAAATTCTTTAAAATTGGGAAGCCACCCCCCTAATTTACTACTGATTACTCGAATCACAATCAAAATATGAATCACTGCCTAAATTGAACCCCCAAATATTTGTAACTGCATCATTCCCCCAAATAACTCGGATTGCCACAGAATCAAATCACTGCCAGGTCAGACTCCCCAGACTTTGGGAATGAAATCACTGTCTTTCTCGTTGTTAGATCGATGGAATCAAATCAAATCGAATCAAATGAAATCAAATCGAATCGTTTCCAAAATATCACAGAAGCACATAATTTTCATTCATGCCTATTTGGGGGGTAGGGTTGCCCTGTCCTAATTTAGAAGCCAGACATAGGATTCACTAAATCATTCAAAGAGGCAATAATACAATCCTGGAAAGGAGGGTATCCTGCCCCAGTTTGGAAGCTGCTAATGCTCTCTCCCTGCAAAAAGAGGTTAGTTTGGTCACAAAAGGGCACATCAGTTGTTGCTATCAATATACCACTCCTTCCACAAGGGAATGATCAAACAGTACTAGTAGCATAGCCTCATGCTTGCCTTATTGACATAACATATCCCACAAATAGCGTCCGGGATACTACGCAACAAACCCGAGGATAGGTGAATGGAACCAATCAATTTTGTTTAACACTTACATTGGATCTGGAAGTCATCGTCATCACCCGTTGGGTGATAGTTGCCCGACCAAGGGAATTCTGAGGAATTTAAAGGATTCCTACCAGAGTGATCAATCTAAACAATTATCTTTCCATTACTTATTGTTTCCCGAAATGTGCCCCAATTTATTTTCAAAAGTGCGTGATCAAATTTCAACTTCTATTTTTTTCAAAATCCTTTTTCAAAATAAAGTGCCGTTTTTTTTTTTTTCCCTTTAAAATTTCAAAGTCTCCATTTCCTCTTTTTTTTTTCGAAAGTTTTGAGTTGTTCGGATTTTATTCCTAGGAATCAACCAAACGATCACCCTTTAGCCAACTATCTTGTAAAGGAACCAAAATTTTATTCGAAATGAGAGACTCGGTCATTACTTCCTTGTCTAACATTTCTCCATAACATTAAGGTTCCCTCAAAGTCAGCGGCCCAAAGGTTTTTACCTGATGAAAAGAACTTTCAATAATTTCATAACTCTATTCAAATTTTATTTTCAAAAAATTTCCAAAGAATTTTAGATCTTATTCCAAGAAATCAATCAAACAGTCACCTTATAGTCAAATGTCTTCTAAGGAAATTCAAAATTTCACTTCAAAGTGAAAGACTCGGTCATCACCTCCTCATCAACACTTTTCCATAAAATCAAATTCCCTCTAAAGTCAAAAACCTAAGGATTTCTGTCTGATCAAAAACTTTCCATAATTTCTAAAATTCTACTCGTGTTTTCTTTCACAATTCTTTCCTCCCAAGGAGCTCTCGATCTTATTCCAAGTATCTAATCAAACAATTGTCTCCTTAGTCAAATGTCTTTCTAGGGAATTTCGAATTTTATTCAAAATTGAAGATTTGGTCACCACTTCCTTATCTACCATTTTTCATAAAAGTCGAAATTCCCCCTAAAGTCAATGACTTAAAGATTCTTATTCGATCAAACACCTTCCATAATCTCCGAGGCTCTACTTAAGTTGCAAAGTTCCTTTTTTTTTTAGAAGTTATTCTTCAATAACATGTTTTCTTGGGGATTTAAATTTTAAAATGGCAATCATTCTTTTCTTTTTCCTCTTCTTCTTTGGTCACGAAAGTAAGAACACAAACTCAAATTCAAACTCAAACTCAAATTCTTTAAAATTGGGAAGCCACCCCCCTAATTTACTACTGATTACTCGAATCACAATCAAAATATGAATCACTGCCTAAATTGAACCCCAAAATATTTGTAACTGCATCATTGCCCCCAAATAACTCGGACTGCCACAGAATCAAATCACTGCCACGTCAGACTCCCCAGACTTTGGGAATGAAATCATTGTCTTTCTCGTTGTTAGATCGCTGGAATCAAATCGAATCAAATCGTTTCCAAAATATCGCATAAGCACATAATTTTCATTCATGCTTATTTGGGGGGTAGGGTTGCCCTGTCCTAATTTAGAAGCCAGACCTAGGATTCACTAAATCATTCAAAGAGGCAATAATACAATCCTGGAAAGGAGGGTATCCTGCCCTAGTTTGGAAGCTGCTAATGCTCTCTCCGTGCAAAAGGAGGTAAGTTTGGTCACAAAAGGGCACATCAGTTGTTGCTATCAATATACCACTCCTTCCACAAGGGAATGATCAAACAGTACTAGTAGCATAGCCTCATGCTTGCCTTATTGACATAACATATCCCACGAATAGCGTCCGGGATACTACGCAACAAACCCGAGGATAGGTGAATGGAACCAATCAATTTTGTTTAACACTTACATTGGATCTGGAAGTCATCGTCATCACCCGTTGGGTGATAGTTGCCCAACCAAGGGATTTCTGAGGAATTTAAAGGATTCCTACCAGAGTGATCAATCTAAACAATTGTCTTTCCATTACTTATTGTTTCCCGAAATGTGCCCCAATTTATTTTCAAAAGTGCGTAATCAAATTTCAACTTCTATTTTTTTCAAAATAAAGTGCCGTTTTTTTTTTTTTTCTTTAAAATTTCAATGTTTCCATTTCCTATTTTTTTTTCGAAAGTTTTGAGTTGTTCGGATTTTATTCCAAGGAATCAACCAAGCGATCGCCCTTTAGCCAAATATCTTGTACAGGAACCAAAATTTTATTCGAAATGAAAGACTCGGTCATTACTTCCTTGTCTAACATTTCTCCATAAGATTAAGGTTCCCTCAAAGTCAGCGGCCCAAAGGTTTTTACCTGATGAAAAGAACTTTCCATAATTTCGAAACTCTATTCTATTTTTATTTTCAAAAAATTTTAGATCTTATTCCAAGAAATCAATCAAACAGTCACCTTATAGTCAAATGTCTTCTAAGGAAATTCAAAATTTCACTTCAAAATGAAAGACTCGGTCATCACCTCCTCATCAACACTTTTCCATAAAATCAAATTCTCTCTAAAGTAAAAAACCTAAGGATTTCTGTCTGATCAAAAACTTTCCATAATTTCTAAAATTCTACTCGGGTTTTCTTTCACAATTCTTTCCTCCCAAGGAGCTCTCGATCTTATTCCAAGTATCTCATCAAACAATTGTCTCCTTAGTCAAATGTCTTTCTAGGGGATTTCGAATTTTATTCAAAATTGAAGATTTGGTCACCACTTCCTTATCTACCATTTTTCATAAAAGTCGAAATTCCCCCTAAAGTCAATGACTTAAAGATTCTTGTTTGATCAAACACCTTCCATAATCTCCAAGGCTTTACTTAAGTTGGAAAGTTCCCTTTTTTTTTAGAAGTTATTCTTCAATAACATGTTTTCTTGGGGATTTAAATTTTAAAATGGGAATCATTCTTTTCTTTTTCCTCTTCTTCTTTGGTCACGAAAGTAAGAACACAAACTCAAATTCAAACTCAAACTCAAATTCTTTAAAATTGGGAAGCCACCCCCCTAATTTACTACTGATTACTCGAATCACAATCAAAATATGAATCACTGCCTAAATTGAACCCCCAAATATTTGTAACTGCATCATTCCCCCAAATAACTCGGATTGCCACAGAATCAAATCACTGCCACGTCAGACTCCCCTGACTTTGGGAATGAAATCACCGTCTTTCTCGTTGTTAGATCGCTGGAATCAAATCGAATCAAATCGTTTCCAAAATATCACATAAGCATATAATTTTCATTCATGCCTATTTGGGGGGTAGGGTTGCCCTGTCCTAATTTAGAAGCCAGACCTAGGATTCACTAAATCATTCAAAGAGGCAATAATACAATCCTGGAAAGGAGGGTATCCTGCCCTAGTTTGGAAGCTGCTAATGCTCTCTCCGTGCAAAAGGAGGTAAGTTTGGTCACAAAATGGCACATCAGTTGTTGCTATCAATATACCACTCCTTCCACAAGGGAATGATCAAACAGTACTAGTAGCATAGCCTCATGCTTGCCTTATTGACATAACATAACCTACGAATAGTGTCCGGGATACTACACAACAAACCCGAGGATAGGTGAATGGAACCAATCAATTTTGTTTAACACATACCATTGGATCTCGAAGTCATCGTCATCACCCATTGGGTGATAGTTGCCCGACCAAGGGAATTCTGAGGAATTTAAAGGATTTCTACCAGAGTGATCAATCTAAACAATTGTCTTTCCATTACTTATTGTTTCCCGAAATGTGCCCCAATTTATTTTCAAAAGTGCGTGATCAAATTTCAACTTCTATTTTTTTCAAAATCCTTTTTCAAAATAAAGTTCCGTCTTTTTTATTTAAAATTTCACTGTTTCCCTTTCCATAACATTATTTGCAAATTTCAAATTTAAAACTGCTCCACATCAAATTTCTTATTTGCATGACAAACATTCCAGATAGAGATTTGATGTAGGCTGGAAAAGAATCCAGTAGCTAAAGGTTCAGAAGGATCCTAAAAAAACTAGGATCAACCTGAAATCTAGTAAAATCTGATCTTGGTTATAAATCAGATTATTATTATTATTATGATTATATCAACATAAGCTTGACTTTATAAGCGGTGGGGATATAAAACAAGACCTAGAAATAAAAAAAAAGACGGTAAAAAGACAACATCATATCTAAAATTTTGTTCTCCAAAAAAAGCCTTCCAAATACTTTATTGCAGCAGAAATTCATAAGTCTATTAGGCCTAAAGTTACTTAACCTACAGGTCACTCTAATTAGCAATGACTTGGCCCCTAATTAAATCATGCCTACAAGCAAGCTAAATCAAATAAGTAAACCCAGCCCATGTATCCTAATAACTTTTGTAAACTCAAACCACCTCTCTTCCTCTCTCTCCCCCAAAACACAGTTAATCATATTAGATGGAGATAGTGTGTTTCAAATGGAATTCATGAAGACATAATTGATTTGATATGATTAAGACGATCACATACAGATCTGTAAAACTTACATTAGAGTTACTTGGGACTGAGATTTTTGATTGGCCATAAAAGTAGCCAATTCCACCCAACAAACTCGCAACTGCAGCCTTACCAGTGGAGATGGACTCAGAATCAAGCTGAAAACAACATATCATAATATCAGAACAGTTCATTTTATGCAAAATAAAGATTTTGTACAATTGAATACAACTTAAACATAAAATGAAATGGCCACCGGGGTTATTTGAACTGCTTGACATTTTATTTTGGTAAGTTAAGTAAGATTCATTTAAAAAAGGCATCAAGGAAATGCCATCCGTATACAAAAAAGGAGAAGAAAAAAAAACCCTATACATCTTCATGTGTATCAAAAAGCTCTACAAAATTTAAGAGTTGGACAAGAAAAGAGATCATAGGAATTGTATAATTTTCCTTAAAATCTTGATCACAAAATTTAAGAATTGGTCAAGCTCTCCCTAAGCCTCGAAAAAAAAGGGAGACAAGCATTGTTCTTTTCAAACTGAGAGCTGAAAAAGTCTCCTTAAGCCTATGAACTGGCTGAATAACTTTTATCAACATATTCATAATTTTAAGTTTAAACACAATGAGACCATCCAAATAATAATAATAAGAATAACAATAATAATAATAATAATAACTGTATCTTAAGAATTGTATAATTTTCCTGCAGTCACCAATGTGACTAGGCTTATAGTGACATGTTACTTGCAACAAAACTATCAAAGACATGCCATGATCCTAAAAATTCTGCATACAGTTATTTGATTTCAAAAAACAAATGACACAAATATAAGGATTTCATATGAATGGATACCTCATCAGCCAAATTAAAGCATTTTTTGAATTTGTCATCAAATTCGTTTTCCTTCTCATCTAGTTGACTAGTCAGTAAGGTACCTAAAAGTATGAAGCAAAATTATCACAACTTACAACGCTGAAATAAATAGCTTGTGCTATTGAAAGTAAACAAAAAAATTACAAGAAATTGGGGAATAAGTCAACGTGTCCATACAAAAAGGATTGTAATATTGCACACCAAGAAAAGAAATATAATTTCGGGAGGGGGGGTTCAACTTGTTTATGCAAAAGGAATATGATCCTACATTCAGAAGATATTTCAATTCCCCAAAGAGTGAAAAGTTCAAAAAATATTTAAATTTAAAATAAACAGGGAAATTTGGTCAGAGGACTGGGATACGTGGTCAGGAAAATGGTACCATTATGCTGAGTTCTTGTCAATGACATTGACATCATCACATTGCCTATTGACTTAAAATCTTGATCACAGCACACCCATCTTATCTCTACACCCTCCCGTGAGAATGACTGCACTACACCACTCACTTCTTTTAACATCGTTAACAACTTCGCTCTTCATTTCCTCTGCTAAATCAAATTAATGAACGTTATGAATTGACCTGAATCCCATCTCTGTAACAATTCTTTGAAGTTTTTATTCTAGGTCTTTTAGACAACAATCATTCCCAAAGTTGTCTCTCCCCCCCCCCCTCTCTCTCTCTCTTAATCAGCATGCCTGTTTACTCTCCTTTGTCTATTAAGTTGATCTTTTTCCTTCCTCACTGAACTTGTCCACCAAGTTAATTAAAAAATGTAAGTGAAGGTTTTCATGTAATCCTATATGCAGTCCTCTAGATTTCATGACTTCCTAGCATATTGCTAAATATTTTTGGTTGCCTCTTTTCAAATTGAAAAGAGGTTATTTACCTCAAATCTAATTCTGCAGTCTTTCTTGTTTGGCAATACCAACAAGCAGCCTGTTTTCTTGTGCTTCTGATAAGTTATACCAGTATTACTTATAAGGAAGTTTCATAAAGAATGAGACACTTGTAATCTTATTAACACAATGTTCACAATCAAGATAAAGGAAACACGCACAGAACTTGACAGAAGATACTTGTAAGGCTGCTGAGACGTTCTTTAAGTCTTGAATCTTTTACGCCAGTTCCAGATATAAAAGCTACATCTATTCTGAAAGAAATCCTACCCAAGATCTGCATAAAAAACAGAAAAGCATATGGGGTAGAAGAGAAATGGAAACCTGAGAATGGCAATCATAGTCCGTGTACACATGTAACCTGTTACCTCCCTGACTGCCTAACTGAAATACTAAAATGTTTGAAGAATCATTGGTAGTGTCTGAGAGTTGCAAACGACCAAACTTCCTCACCTAACAACACATACAAGAGTGTGAGTGAGCAAGCAAGCAAGCAAGCGCGCACACACACACACAGAGCATAAGTGAAAGAACCACTGCTGAAAACTGAAACATGAAACACTAGTACGATTATAACACTGTAAAATGGAAGCAAAAGAATGTTTTACCAATAGCACAAATCAACATGATTTAGCATGCAGAAAAAACAGCAGACAACAAAAAACATTAATTCTTACTTGGGCTCCAAGATTTTGCTGGACAAGGTCTGATAAATTGTGAATGTGAGATATCTTGAAGCCAGAATAATGGACTTCCAAATCATCCTGCAAGAAATTGGTTTGAGATTAAAGCTGAATTAAAAATATTGTTGGGGCCACAAAATACATAAACAAGGAGGAGAACAGGCATGCATGAGTAATTATTTCCTCTTTCACAAAGAAGGTTCCCGTGCATCTATCTAACAACATACCATTGATTCTAAATTTAGATTCCAACTGCCAACATCTGTTCGTGATCCAACAGCCAGGAGAGAATTCTCACGAATGTTCAGGGTCTCCCTACTCAAACTCAAAGCGTTCCCATCTTCATCCGCAAGATAGAAGAAAAGATGCACAGTTTGCATCTCCTCACTAAGCTTGGATCTGATAAAAATCAAAACAAATGAACGAAACATAAACCAGTAATACCATCCTACTACTAACAACTCCCAATTTAAGAATAGAGGATATTCAAGAATTCATAATATGAAACAAAAACGTGAAAACTATAAATTATGCTGAGTAAGAGAACATAAATGTAATTTACCAATTCTTACAGAGTATACAAAATCGAATTTGAAAAAAAAAAAAGGAAAAGAAAAAGAAAAAAGAGAACCTCACTGCCATAGTCCAAGAAGCAAGCAAGTTTCTTTAGTCATATTTGTAAACCATGACATGAGGCACAGATCTAAAGAGAGCTTCCTAGGCTATACTTCAAAGTGTGAAGCACGTGGCAAGCACATAGGTTTTGAACTTAAGAATAGCCACATCCTTATATATTGCTGAATTCATTAACAAATAAATATTTTTCTCAAAATTAAGACTTCTCAGATAAGAACACATTCTAATCTTCATCCTGTCATGGTTTGTATCAATGATGTCATTAATTAAATTTAATTCATTCATTTCTTTGGGGGGTTTCAATAAATTGTTTGCAATTAAAATTCAACAGAACTAAACATTTTTTATGATCCTTTGTTTTCGTTTTTAGTCCTAAAATTCTATTTAATTTACAAAAATCAATTGTTAGCTGATGACATGATGTGTAATTCCTAAATATAGACCTTCTAAAATTTGCCCCCAAACATATACATTTATTTGATAAATTTCCAAACACACATTTAACCCATGAGAAGTATTCATTCAGTACAAGTTTGCTTTCGACAATATAGAAGTACTGTTACAAAGCACCCACAATATAAAACTACTACTATAACAATGGGTAAATGTACTGGCAACACAAATACACAACCCAATCGTTAGTACTGTTGAGTGTATTCTTACAAGGTCCCATAATTAATGCATAAACTGCTAAAAATGCAAACCAATAATTCCCAGCATCTTTACTGTGTAAAATTTCAAACAAATAAAAACCATAACATAGGAAAAAATGTGTGCAATTGCCGTAAAATGGTCAAATGACAGGTATATGGATGTTAATCAAGGCTAACACACATTTCTTTTTATCCAAACCAATAATTTCCACCTCAGATTCACATGCTATTTTCTTATAGGTTGTCGTGTAGAAAATCTCCAGTTTGGGGGCTATATCCACTAAACAAAACATGCTTATTAGAGGTATTTGATAAGACAAATGTAAGATTGGTGGGAAAGATATTTACTTCTCACTTTGCACATCAATTCGAACTGCCCAGTCCCCTCCATAGCCACTGCCATCTTCTTTGGATTTCAAAAACTTGTCATCAAGGTCATATCTCGGTCAACTAGCATTTGACGTCCATAATCCCGTCCATTGTGGCACGTCCAACCGTATGTCTTCAATTCATCTGAATCTTGGCAGACAT